GCACCACGAAATATATTTACAAAAGTGCGAAATATCAGATAAAATATTGAAAAACAAATTATACTGCGATATTAATAACTAAGACTGCATTATCTGACCTTCTGTTTCAAATAGTACTAGTGAAGAAGTGCTTCTTTAATTTCTCAAATTTTATTGCAATAATTTTAAATGATAACTTCTAGAAATGAATGCCGTCCGATGCACTTGAATGGTCTGCTTTGAAGAAATGTACAAAATATTTCATTGATTAAAAGTGAAAAATTTTTGCAAAGTATTAAAATATTCATTTTTAGCTGTCAGTGGCTGATCGAAACTGACTCGTATCACAGAATTGGTGCAAAAGTTGATGTTAATGCTGATGATAACTATTTTCTGAGTTTTACAAGCGAAAATGGATCCTTGAAAAAGTAATCAGTTTGTTAAATAAGCAGATACTGACGGGTGATTTCTAGTACAATACTATAAAAATATTGTAGAAAGCACTAATAGCAAAATTGCTATAATTCATTGATAAAATAACAATAATAATTATTGTGAATAAACAAACGCAGCACTTTTCTTCAAATGCTTGCGTTTTTCGATGTTATGGATTAAATTTATCTTTCGATCACTTCCAAGATGGTAAGGTAATTCTTTAGTACTTTCAGTAAAAGCTGAAAACATACCTCTAAACTTTTTAATCACTTATTTGCAAGAACTATAAGTTCTGATGTCTTTGAAATGAATTTGAATTTTCAATCATCATAGATTAATAAATTATACATAAATCACACCGAAACACAATTTTATTGGATTCCCCCAAAAATTAGCACAAAACTGAAAAATGCGAGACTATGCAAGCGCAAAAAATAACGATTGTTGTCGAGGTCAAATATTTTTCGAGTGTTTTTTGAGTAAAATTATTTGTGGAATATTTTTACTCCAATTCATATTACTAGTAAATGAATGTTTAAAAAAAGTTTTTACTTTCTACTTTTTGTATTTTGTAATTACTAAAGCGATTGTGCTACTAGGTTAAAAAAAAGTAATCATTTGTTATTTGGTAGTTATGAGTGATAAAGACATGCGAAAAGCTGAAGCAACATTGAATACACTAATAATTTGGACTGAAATTGTGAAAAAAAATTTCTCAGCTTTTCAAAGGAATCTTCCATGCATTTTCAAAAGAATCTTTTTTCTGTCTTCTTGATTCTCGCGTTTGGATCGTGTTCCGGTACTCCCGCTGTAATCACCCGACACTCAGTTCTGCTGGTTCCGGTACACTGGTCAAGTGCTTTCCCATGACCCTTACAGAGCTTTCTTCAACAACCTCACTTGTTTTCCATTTACTTCTATCTATGATTCCAGTCTCGGTTTTTTTTCGCTTATCCTCCATTTGCTACTTTCCTATTTTTTGATCGATCGACTAGCTGACAGCTCAAACAGTCGGCAACACCAGATGCGGATGAGTAAGAACTCGCCCACAGCTGATTCATCAATATGACTACGATACGGAAACATTACCCAGCAAGATGAGGCACGATACTGTAACCTCCAAGAGAGAAATATGAGTGGAACTGAGAAAGGTATGTGCCAACATTGTAAGGAACGTGTGAAGACAGTCGACCATCTAGCAACGCAGTGCGGAAAAATGTTACGTCACGACTATACTAGAAGACACAATTCGGTTCTACGATTCATTCATTTGGGACTCTGCAAGAAGTATGGTCTGGAAACATTCCCGCGCTTCTGAAGCCATTTTGTTCAGCAGGTCGTCGCGAATGAGAGTGTTGAGATTAGAGCCGATACCCGAGTGAAAACAACTCTAAAGTACGGATCGACTGGATAATAATCCACGATAAAAAACGACATGAACTAGAGGTTGACATCAGTCGAGAGAGAAAAAGCGAAAATATGACTTACTGGCTGATGAACTCGTGTCAGAGATGAAATTCAGGACGAAAATAATTCTGTATGTGATAGGATTGTAACGAACTTCCACAGATGCTACACGAAGGAGATCAATATATCTGGTCACATTGAGACATACACTCAATCTATAGTGTTCAAGAAAATGCTCGAAAGCATCTCCTTCGATTCCACGAGGACGAAGTGAAAACGATGAGCACAACAAATCTGAGCGAGGGACAAGTAAAGCCAGAGAGCCAGAATACGACCCAGCGCCAGAAGAAAAGAAGAATGATCTCCAAAAATAGAACATGTGAATTATATATGAGAACCAAATCTTTAGAAAAGATGAATCTATTCCTTTGTCAGATCAGTTATTTAGGGCAAGATATGAGGATGAATACATCGGCAAATGTGAAAGTATCAATATCACGAAGACATGATTCTAAGGAATTAAACTCAAATCAATATATAATGCGTATAATAATTTGTATGATGATGTGTATGATATTAATGTAATATTTTTTAATTTGTTATAAATTAATTAATTTCTAATTTTCGAGTAATGTTTATAGTTGTACAAAACGCACGTGTACATTTGAGAGCGATACATCGATTTTATTATTACGACTTTTAAATAAACGAAACAGAATCCAACCTACTACACGTCTATCTCTCAAAATCTTCACTTTACCTTCAATTTCAGGTAAGCTGCTTTACAAATTTATTTCACGTGAGATACAACTATTTTTGAATATAAAACTAAAATCAGTACTATTTCAACATGTTTAATTAAATCTCTATTAACAATTACAGTAATTAGCATAACCATTTACACTAGAACTGTATTTTTACATGCGATTTTAACTATAATTTTGTCATTTTTGTTTGATTTGCTATAGAAACGTATTAAAAGATTAATTATAATTGCATAGAGTGATAATAATTTAGCATGTCCAATAGTAATAAATAAGTGATTAAATGCTAGGAAAAGTGAAAAATATTAAATAAGCAAGTAATTATTAACTCATTTAAGAATATTTTGCAGATAACAATCGTACGTTGATAGTTTTAAGAATATTTTGCAGATAACAATCGTACGTTGATAGTTGTAATATGGGTTATTATAATACTTCTTTCG